GATTTCTAGGAAAATAAGCGATATTTTAGGGGAAAAACAGGGATTTCTATGAAAATAAGCGATATTTTAGGGGAAAAACAGGGATTTCTGTGAAAATAAGCGATATTTTAGGGTTAAAAACAGGGATTTCTGTGAAAATAAGCGATATTTTAGGGGAAAAACAGGGATTTCCAAGAAAATCAGCAATATTTTAGGGGAAAAACAGGGATTTCTATGAAAATAAGCGATATTTTAGGGGAAAAACAGGGATTTCTGTGAAAATAAGCGATATTTTAGGGTTAAAAACAGGGATTTCTGTGAAAATAAGCGATATTTCAGGGGAAAAACAGGGATTTCATGTGAAAATAAGCGATATTTTAGGGGAAAAACAGGGATTGCTGTGAAAATAAGCGATATTTTAGGGGAAAAACAGGGATTTCTGTGAAAATAAGCGATATTTATGGGGAAAAACAGGGATTTCTATGAAAATAAGCGATATTTTAGGGTTAAAAACAGGGATTTCTATGAAAATAAGCAATATTTAAGGAGCAAAACAGGGGTATCTGTGAAAATAAGCGATATTTTAGGGGAAAAACAGGGATTTCTATGAAATTAAGCGATATTTTAGGGGAAAAACAGGGATTTCTGTGAAAATAAGCGATATTTTAGAGGAAAAACAGGGATTTGTGTGAAAATAAGCGATATTTTAGGGGAAAAACAGGGATTTCTGTGAAAATAAGCGATATTTTAGGGGAAAAACAGGGAATTCTGTGAGAGTAAGCGATATTTTAGGGTTAAAAACAGGGATTTCTGTGAAAATAAGCGATATTTTAGGGGAAAAACAGGGATTTCTATGAAAGCAAGTGATATTTATGGGGAAAAACAGGGATTTCTATGAAAATAAGAGATATTTTAGGGGAAAAACAGGGATTTCTGTGAAAATAAGCGATATTTAAGGGGAAAAACAGGGATTTCCATGAAAATAAGCGATATTTTTGGGGAAAAACAGGGATTTATATGAAAATAACAGATATATTAGGGGAAAAACAGGGATTTCTCTGAAAATAAGCGATATTTTAGGGGAAAAACAGGGATTTCTATGAAAATAAGTGATATTTTAGGGTTAAAAACAGGGATTTCTAGGAAAATAAGTGATATTTTAAGGGGAAAAACAGGGATTTCTGTGAAAATAAGCAATATTTTAGGGGAAAAACAGGGATTTCTAGGAAAATAAGCGATATTTTAGGGGGAAAACAGGGATTTCTATGAAAATAAGCGATATTTTAGGGTTAAAAACAGGGATTTCTGTGAAAATAAGCGATATTTTAGGGGAAAAACAGGGATTTCTGTGAAAATAAGCGATATTTTAGGGGAAAAACAGGGATTTCTATGAAAATAAGCGATATTTTAGGGGAAAAACAGGGATTTCATGGAAAATAAGCGATATTTCAGGGGAAAAACAGGGATTTCTGGGAAAATAAGCGATATTTTAGGGTTAAAAACAGGGATTTCTATGAAAATAAGCGATATTTTAGGGGAAAAACAGGGATTTCTGTGAAAATAAGCGATATTTCAGGGGAAAAACAGGGATTTTGGTGAAAATAAGCGATATTTTAGGGGAAAAACAGGGATTTCTAGGAAAATAAGCGATATTTTAGGGGAAAAACAGGGATTTCTATGAAAATAAACGATATTTTAGGGTTAAAAACAGGGATTTCAGTGAAAATAAGTGATATTTTACGATTAAAAACAGGGATTTCTATGAAAGCAATTGATATTTTAGGGTTAAAAACAGGGATTTCTATGAAAGCAAGCGATATTTTAGGGAAAAGAACAGGGATTTCTAGGAAAATAAGCGATATTTTAGGGTTAAAAACAGGGATTTCTATGAAAATAAGTGATATTTTAAGGGGAAAAACAGGGATTTCTGTGAAAATAAGTGATATTTAAGGGGAAAAACAGGGATTTCTGTGAAAATAAGCGATATTTTAGGGGAAAAACAGGGATTTCTATGAAAGCAAGTGATATTTCAGGGGAAAAACAGGGATTTCTGTGAAAATAAGCGATATTTTAGGGGAAAAACAGGGATTTCCGTGAAAATAAGCGATATTTTAGGGGAAAAACAGGGATATCTAGGAAAATAAGCGATATTTTAGGGAAAAACAGGGATTTCTGTGAAAATAAGCGATATTTAAGGGGAACAACAGGGATTTCCATGAAAATAAGCGATATTTAAGGTTAAAAACAGGGATTTCCAAGAAATTCAGCAATATTTTAGGGGAAAAACAGGGATTTCTGTGAAAATAAGCGATATTTTAGGGGAAAAACAGGGATTTCTGTGAAAATAAGGGATATTTCAGGGGAAAAACAGGGATTTCTATGAAAATAAGCGATATTTCAGGGGAAAAACAGGGATTTCTGGGAAAATAAGCGATATTTTAGGGGAAAAACAGGGATTTCTATGAAAATAAGTGATATTTTAGGGGAAAAACAGGGATTTCTATGAAAATAAGCGATATTTCAGGGGAAAAACAGGGATTTCTGTGAAAATAAGCGAAATTTCAGGGGAACAAAAGGGATTTCATGGAAAATAAGCGATATTTTAGGGGAAAAACAGGGATTTCTATGAAAATAAGCGATATTTCAGGGGAAAAACAGGGATTTCTGTGAAAATAAGGGATATTTATGGGGAAAAACAGGGATTTCTATGAAAATAAGCGATATTTTAGGGGAAAAACCGGGATTTCTGTGAAAATAAGCGATATTTTAGGGGAAAAATAGAGATTTCTGTGAAAATAAGTGATATTTTAGGTTAAAAACAGGGATTTCTGTGAAAATAAGCGATATTTTGAAGGGGAAAAACAGGGATTTCTATGAAAATAAGCGATATTTTAGGGTTAAAAACAGGGATACCTATGAAAATAAGCGATATTTTAGGGGAAAAACAGGGATTTCTATGAAAATAAGCGATATTTTATGGTTAAAAACAGGGATTTCAGTGAAAATAAGCGATATTTTACGATTAAAAACAGGGATTTCTATGAAAGCAAGCGATATTTTAGGGATAAGAACAGGGATTTCATTTAAAATAAGTGATATTTTAGGGGAAAAACAGGGATTTCTATGAAAATAAGCGATATTTATGGGGAAAAACAGGGATTTCCAAGAAAATCAGCAATATTTTAGGGGAAAAACAGGAATTTCCAAGATAATAAGCGATATTTTAGGGGAAAAACAGGGATTTCCAAGAAAATAAGCGATATTTAAGGTTAAAAACAAGGATTTCCAAGAAAATAAGCGATATTTCAGGGGAAAAACAGGGATTTCATGGAAAATAAGCGATATTTTAGGGGAAAAACAGGGATTTCTGTGAAAATAAGCGATATTTTAGGGTTAAAAACAGGGATTTCTATGAAAATAAGGGATATTTCAGGGGAAAAACAGGGATTTCGTGGAAAATAAGCGATATTTTAGGGGAAAAACAGGGATTTCTTGTAAAGTAAGCCAAATTTCAGGGGAAAAACAGGGATTTCTAGGAAAATAATCGATATTTCTGGGGAAAAACAGGGATTTCTGTGAGAATAAGCGATATGTTAAGGGGAAAAACAGGGATTTCTGTGAAAATAAGCGATATTTTAGGGGAAAAACAGGGATTTCATGGAAAATAAGCGATATTTTAGGGGAAAAACAGGGATTTCTGTGAAAATAAGCGATATTTTAGGGGAAAAACAGGGATTTCTGTGAAAATAAGGGATATTTTAGGGTTAAAAACAGGGATTTCTGTGAAAATAAGCGATATTTTAGGGGAAAAACAGGGATTTCTATGAAAGCAAGCGATATTTCAGGGGAAAAACAGGGATTTCTGTGAAAATAAGGGATATTTAAGGGGAAAAACGGATTTCTAGGAAAATAAGCGATATTTTAGGGGAAAAACAGGGATTTCCATGAAAATAAGCAATATTTTAGGGTTAAAAACAGGGATTTCAGTGAAATAAGTGATATTTTACGATTAAAAACAGGGATTCCTATGAAAGCAAGCGATATTTTAGGGGAAAAACGGGGAATTCCGTGAATATAAGGGGTATTTTAGGGGAAGAACAGGGATTTCTGTGAAAATAAGCGATATTTATGGGGAAAAACAGGGATTTCTGTGAAAATAAGCGATATTGTAGGGTAAAAAACAGGGATTTCTGTGAAAATAAGCGATATTTTAGGGGAAAAACAGGGATTTCTATGAAAATAAGCGATATTTTAGGGGAAAAACAGGGATTTCTCTGAAAATAAGCGATATTTTAGGGGAAAAACAGGGATTTCTTGGAAAATAAGCGATATTTTAGGGTTAAAAACAGGGATTTCTGTGAAAATAAGCGATTTTTTAGGGTTAAAAACAGGGGGTTTTTAGAAAATAAGCAATTTTTAAGGTTCACAGCAGGTATTTCCATGAAAATATGGGATATTTTATGGGAACAACAGGGATTTCTATGACGTAGAAATCACCCTTACCATTAATTACCTACTGTAATGCTGCAGCATTATGGAAAATGCAACAACGGTAGCAAAGAAGCAAAGTCCCAGGCTGTAGTAAGTGAGGATGTGCTCAAACACAGCAGCCGTATATACAGAAAAAGAACAAAAATCTGCTTACCTTTGGAAGAACTCATGCAAGCACAGACCTCCAGCGAAAGCCCCCTCACTTCTGATGCCAGTGCTTAAATGAGACCCGGAAGTGGGTGGAGCCTGGCTCCGCCCCCTTCCATCACTCAGGTGCGTTTCATGCACCTGAGCTTCTATGGTTTGTCCCTTCTCAATCATTGTTTCAAGCCACGACTTCGGGTTTCCGCTACCCCCCCCAACAGTATCGCTCCAACATCACTCCCTGATGTCCCCCCCATGATGCTCCAACATCACCCCCCAGCATCACTCTCCAGCATCACCCCCCACATCTTCCCAGGGTCAGCTCAGTGTTACCCTCAGTGTCACTCTATCAGCACTGAAATTTGTGCTCCGCTATCTATTAGAAATTTCACCCAATGCCTTTGAGGACAGACTTCAATCAAAATCCGCGTGCCATTGTTGCTCATCCTTTGATCAAACTCCCCTTGCCGGACAGGCAGACCCAATCACCTGCTTGTAATTAGTCTTTTGTTGTTGTTTACAGCCTGAAGCAGTGATGGAGCACCTGGTGAGGGATGTGGCCAGCCCTGCCAGCACAGGTGGAAGCAATTTGCCTGTGGGACCGGATAGGGCTGAGCTTGGCTCCACCCCCTCCCTGCCCATATTTAAGGGCTGGGAACAGCAAGGGCAGCATTCAGCTTGGGATCTGCCTCCATGGGAGCATTGGGAGCCAGTTCTGCTCGTTGGAATGGGGTGAGTGACTGATGCTTTGTTGCAGGGCTCTGGTCTTTCTGTTTTTGGGGATCCTGACTGCTTTTAAGGGCTGGAAGCTGTAAGGGCAGCATCTCTGTATGGAGGCTGCTTCCTTTGGGGTGTGGGCTGAGTGTTTGTTTTTGGGATGGGGTCATTGGTTTCTTCTGTATTGCTGGATTGTAATTTCACTTTCTGGGGGCTCCTGACCACATTTAAGGTCTGTCAGCAGAAGGAGCAGCAACTGCACCTGGAGGCTGCTTCCTTTAGAGCATGGGGTGAACCCTTGAAACGGGGTGAGTGAGTCTTTATTCCAGGGTTGCAACATCTTGTTTTTTGGGGGATCCTGACCCCGCTTAAGGGCTGGCAGCCTTTAAGGTGGTATCTGTCTTTAGAGACTGTCTCCTTGGGAGTGTGGGGTGAGGGCCGGTCCTTGAGAAAGAATGAGTGATTTCTTCTTGTTTTAGGGCTGTGATCTTTCCTGTTTTGGGGGCATCCTGACCGCATTTAAGTGCTGACAGATGTAAGGGTAACGTTGATCTCTGGAGGCTGTCTCCTGTGGAGCATGGGTGAGTTTTGGCCTTTGAGAGGGGTGTAAGTGGTTTCTTTGTTTTTTCTTTATTTCAGGCTGCAATCTCCATTTTTTCTTTTCTTTTTTTATTATTATAATTTAGTATCCTGACCACATTTAAGGGGTGGAAGCCATAAGGGCAGCATCTCTACCTGGAGACTGCTTCCCTGGCAGTGTGGGCTGAGTGTTCATCTTTGGAATGGAGTAACTTCTTCTTCCTTTATTTCAGGGCTGTTATGCACTGCTTCCAACCGTGCAGAGTTGTTTAAAGGCATTCTGTGCACCCTTAGGTGTAATAAGTCTTCATCTTTATAGGAAGCCAAGGTTTGTCCTCTTCTGGACCGCTGTACTCAGCATCACCCCAGATATCTCCATCCTAATTGTCTGGAGATGCTGTTAGTTTCCTAATCTGTACGACACCCAAACCCCAATTCCTCTTCCTCCCACCCCCTGACCCGCATTCAATGCTCTGCAGCTCTGGTTCCCAACAGCGTGATGAAGTGAAGCCCCTGCTCTGCTGAATACTGGGACTGGCCCAGAGAGGCTCTGATGGATGTGGATTATCCCAGCTGGAGTACTTGGTACCATTGGTGGTGATCTCATCCAACTGCCACACAACAAACAGGAACATCCACAGCCAGATCAGTGCCCAGAGCCTGACCCAGCGTCACCTTGGAAGGGACAGGGCATCCATCATGTCTGGGTAACCTGTTCCGCTGTGTCACCACCATCACTGTACAGGGTTTTCTTTATATCTAGGCTAAATCTTTCCTTGTTCTTCCCTTCAGGTGTTGAAAGGCTGTTACCAGATCACCTCGGAGCCTTCACTTCTGCAGGCTGAGCAGCTCCAGCTCTCTGTCTTTATAGGAAAGGCGTTCCATCCCTCGGTTCATGTTTGTGGCCGTTCTATGGATGTGCTCCAACAGCTCCACATCTGTCCTGCACTGTAGGCATCCACATCCAGACGCAGCACCTCCAGGTGAGGCCTCCCAGCGCAGAGCAGAGGGGCAGGACCGCCTCCCTTCGCCTGCTGACCGCACATCTTTGGATGGAACCCAGCATACGGTTGGCTTTCTGGGCTGGAAGGCGCGTTGCTGAGTGCCACTACTCAGCCTGTTGAGGTCCCTCTGGATGGCATCCCGTCCCTCTGGTGTGTCACCGCACCCCACAGCTCGGTGTCATTAGGGTGCACTCCACCCTACTGTCAATGTCGCTGATGAAGGGGCAATTCCAGATGTTTGTGCAAACTCAGCAAAGAACACCTTGAGAGCAGCCCCACAGAGAAGGATTTGCAGATCCTGGTGGGTGAGAAGCTGGACGTCAGCCAGCAGAGCGGGCTTGCAGCCTGGAAGGCCAGCTGTGTTCTGGGCTGCATTAAAAGAGGAGCGGCCAGCAGGGAGAGGGAGGCGATCGTCCCCATCTGCTCTGCTCTTGTGAGGCCCCATCTGCAGCGCTGCATCCAGGCGTGGGGCCCCCAGCACAGGAAGGACGTGGAGCTCACGGAGCGGGTCCAGAGGAGGCACTGAGATGATCAGATGGTTGGAGCAGCTCTCCTACAAGGAAAGGTTGAGGGAAGTGGGCTTGTTCAGCCTGGAGAAGAGAAGGCTTGGGGGAGACCTCGTTGCAGCTTTCCAGTACTTGAATGGGGGAACAGCAGGAAGGGGAACGGCTGTTTACAAGGGTGGATTGTGAGGACAAGGGGGAATGGTTTTAATCTGAGACAGGGGAGGTTTAGGTTGGTTATTAGGAGGAAGCTTTTCATACAGAGGGTGGTGACGCACTGGAACGTGCTTCAGAGTCCCTTCCAGGAGGATCTGCTCCATGATTTTTTGCAGCACAGAGGTGAGACTGATGTTGGCAGTTCCCAGGGTCACACTTTATATCTGCAGTAACAGCTGTGCTGTCACCTTTTTTCTGCTCAGCAGAGACTTCACCTGACTGCCTCGACTTCTCAAATACCACTGAGAGTGGCTCGGTGACTGCAGCACTGAATTCCCTCAGAGCTCTGGGACTCATCAGGACCCAAAGACTCCTGGATGCTCGGGTCCTCAGGTGGTCCAGAACCTGATCTCACATCACAGTGTGGGATAGGGAGGGCTCTGTGGGACCGGCATTGCTTCCTGAATCTACCAAACCAAAGGTGAGGGCAGTGTGTAATGAGCAGTTATCAGAGAAGATGGAAGATGGATGTTGTTGGGTACCTCAGCCTTCTCCTTGTCTGTTGTTCCCAGCTCAGTGCTGCTGGTAAGCAGCATCGTGCGCAGAGCGCAGCCACGTTGATCAGAGAAAGGAGTGCAGGTTTGTGAAAGAGGCACATCTGCAGGGCAGCGCCTTCATTACCGCTTTGTGTCCCACAGGTGGCAGCAGGCTGCGGCACTCCGGAGAGCCGTAACGACCGCATGGAGATGCGTGGCTCTTATGGGAACAGCAAGGAACCGGAATCTGCATTTCCTGGAATGCCCGGAACCCCGCTTTGCTGGCCGGTAATTGTCTGCCCAGCAGGTAAGGGCAATGCACACCCACCAGCGTTTACCCATTCCCTAGCATGGCACAGCACGGTGCTCACAGAGCTCTTCATTGCACTTCGTGGTGCCCTGGATGCTGCCTGTCCTTTCTGTGTTCTCCTTGTCTGCGGCCTTTCACTGCAGGGTTTTCATTCCCTTTGCCCTTGCTGTTCCCTACTCCATTCTCTTGCCCTCCTGTTTTTGTGTTCCATGCTACGTTCTCTTGGCCGCTGCCCTTGGCTTTCTTTGCCGCATTCACTTCAGCATTCAGTTTTGGCGTTCCGTGCCGCGTTCTCTCGCCCTCCTGTTCTGGCATTTCCTTCCATGTTCTGTTAGCCGTCGCCATTGGTTGGGCATCCTCTTGTCCTCCTGGTTTTGTGTTCCACGCCGAGTTCTCTTGGCCGTTGCCCTGGGCTTTCTTTGCCATATTCACTTCAGCATTCAGTTTTGGCGTTCCCTGCTGCGTTCTCCTGCCCTCCTGTTTTGGCGTTTCTTGCCGTGTTCTCTTGGCCATCATCCTTGGCATTTCCTTCCACGTTCTCTTGGCCCTTGCCCTTCTCTGGGCATTCCCTCGCCCCCCTGTTATTGTGTCCCATGCTATGTTCTCTTGGCCATTGCCCTTGGCTTTATGTAGCCACTTTCTCTTCAGCATTTGATTTTGGCGTTCCCGGCAGCATTCTCTTGCCTCCTATTTTGGCACTTCCTGCCATGTTATCTTAGCCCTTTCCTGGGCATTCCATGCCGTGTTCCCTCGGCCTTTTGTTTCGGCATTTTGTGCTGCGTTCTCTTGGCCTTTGCCCTCGGCCTTTCCTGTTGCGTTCTCCTTGTCCTCCCCTTGGCTTTCCATTGGTGCTCTCTTTGCTTTTGCCCTTGCCTTAGCTTGGCTGTTTGCTTTGCATTTACCTTGGCTTTCCACGGGAGTTTTGTTTCCCTTTGCTTTTGGCACTCTGGGATTAGCTGCGAGGATACATTAACATTAACCTTAACCTGAACCCACAGCTGAATGGGAGTTCTAACGATAACTTTGTTAACCTGCAGCGTATCTGTAGACCAAACCCAGTGTTGAAAATGTCTCTTACCCTGAATGCTGCTGTAAAAATAATGCCCCATGTTTTGTCAAATAACCTTAATTGTAATTGTAGTGCAGAATACTGATGTTAGACCAACTGTAACTTCAACCCTATCAATAGCATTAATTCTATCCCTAACGTTAATTATAATTAATTACAACCCTTGTGTCATCATTACAGCATTGTGCTCAGGGTGCAGCCCCACAAATGCGGGGCAGCGCCTTCATTACTGCGTTGTGTCCCACAGGTGGCAGCAGAGTTGCGTTGCTCCTGAGCGCTGTAAGGACAGCACGGAGATGCGCGGCTCTTCAGGCAGCAGCAAGGAACCGGAATCTGCATTTCCTGGGATGCCCGGAACCCCGCTTTGCTGGCCGGTAATTGTCTGCCCAGCAGGTAAGGGCGATGCTCACCCACCGGTGTTTATTCATTACTTAGCGAGGCACAAGGTAGGGTTCACAGAGCTCTTCATTGCACTTCGTGGTGCCCTGGATGCTGCCTGTCCTTTTCTTTCTGTGTTATCGCCTCCAGCCTTTCACTGCAGCGTTCTCCTTGCCCTTGGCTTTCCCTGCTGCGTTCTCTTGCCCTCCTGTTTTGGCGTTCCCTGTGGCATTCTCTCGGCCATTTGCCCTCGGCCACCTTCACTGCGTTTTCTTTGGCCTTCGGCTTTGGCCATCTGTGCCACATTCCCTTGGCCTTTGTCCTTGGCCTTCTTTGCCACGTTCACTTTGCCTCACGTTCTGGCGTTCCCTACAGCATTATTTTGGCCTTCAGTTCTGGCGTTCGTGGCTGCGTTCTCTTTGGCCGTTGCCCTCGGCCTTCTTTGCCCCATTTCCTTTGGCCTCCTGTTCTGGCGTTCCCTGCGGCGTTCTCTTTGGCTTCTATTTTGGCGTTCCCTTCCACGTTCTTTTCAGCCATTGCTCCTGGCCTTCTTTGCCCATTCCCTTTGGCCTCTTGTTTTGTCTTCTCCTACAGCATTCTCTTTGCCTTTGGTTTTGGCCTTTTGTGCCGCATTCTCTTTGGCCATTGCCCTTGACCTTCTGCATCGGCCTTCCCTGCAGCGTTCTCACGGACCTCGCCCTCCATTTTGGCCTTCTGCGTCGATCTCTTTGGTCTCCATTCTGGCGTTCTCTGCGGCCTTCTCCTTGGGCCTGACCTCTGACGCGACCTTTGGCGTTCTCCATGTCTTTCCCATCCCTTTGCCCTCTGTTTTGGCGTTCCCTCGGCTGTTCTCCTTGCCTTTTGCTCCTGCCTTTGCCTTGGCCTTCCCTAACGGTCACTCTAACCCTAATCCTGATGTACCTAACCCTAACACCTTTCCTGTTAAATACTCCTAACCTTACTCTGAAGCCTTTTCTTAGAGCGGTGTTTGGCTTCCACGTTTTGTGGGGGTGGGCTGACGGTGAGCACAGTTTGGGTCTCGGCCTTCTTCCTTCTAAAGCGTGTCTCTGTATTACAGGTGAAGATGCCTTCGACGCTTCCAGTCGATGACTTCCCCCCTGCGACGCCATCGGCTTTCCAGGCCTCCCACACTCACCGCCAGCTCGGTTCAGTCAACCGTTACCCGAATCCCCGCTCCGTTCCCTTTCCATGATCTTCCCGTCACTCTGCCACAAGCCCCTACCAAGGTCATCGCAGGCAGCGTGTGGGATGCGGCGCTCGGTCTCATTGCAGTTCATCCCATCGGCCTCAGCCCAGCGATCCAACCCACCCGCACCCTTCCTGAGGGCCCTTCTGCTCCCAGGCCAATCAACGCTTCCTTCTGATGCCATCTGAGTTCCCTCCAGGCCACTTTCAGACTCATGGCTCTTTGTGGCCATTTTGAGAGTTGCGCTGATTTCAGCGTGTGCATTCAATTGACTTCAACCAAATTGGCTTTAGCTTGACATACAATTAATGTAAACCAAATTGGCTTTAGCCTTGCATTCAATTGGCTTCAACCAAATTGGCTTTGGCTTTGCATTCAATTGACTTCAACCAAATTGGCTTTGGCTTTATATTCAATTGACTTCAACCAAATTGGCTTTAGCTTTACATTCAATTGACTTCAACCAAATTGGCTTTAGCTTTACGTTCAATTGACTTCAACCAAATTGGCTTTAGCTTTACATCCAATTAATGTAAGCCAAATTGGCTTTAGCTTTGCCTTGGTTACGGGGTTGGGCTAGCCTTGCTTTGTTTGCTCCTAGGCAGGGCTAACCCAACCCCGTAACCAAGGGCCGTCGGAGGCGATTTTGTTCCTTCCGGCCAGTCTGAGACTCGCGCCCCATTGCGGCCATTTTGAGAGTTGCGCTGATTTCAGCATCTGCGTTCAATTTATCTCAACCAAATTGGCTTTAGCCTTGCAATCATTTTGCATCAACCAAATTGGCTTTGGCTTTGCATTCAATTGACTTCAACCAAATTGGCTTTGGCTTTGCATTCAATTGGCTTCAACCAAATTGGCTTTGGCTTTGCATTCAATTGACTTCAACCAAATTGGCTTTAGCCTTGCATTCAATTGGCTTCAACCAAATTGGCTTTAGCTTTACATTCAATTGACTTCAACCAAATTGGCTTTAGCTTTACATTCAATTGGCTTCAACCAAATTGACTTTAGTTTTACATCCAATTAATGTAAGCCAAATTGGCTTTAGCTTTGCCTTGGTTACGGGGTTGGGCTAGCCTTGCTTTGTTTGTTCCTAGGCAGGGCTAACCCAACCCCGTAACCAAGGGCCGTCGGAGGCGATTTTGTTCCTTCCCGGCCAGTCTGAGACTCGCGCCCCATTGCGGCCATTTTGAGAGTTGCGCTGATTTCAGCATCTGCGTTCAATTTATCTCAACCAAATTGGCTTTAGCCTTGCAATCATTTTGCATCAACCAAATTGGCTTTGGCTTTGCATTCAATTGACTTCAACCAAATTGGCTTTAGCCTTGCATTCAATTGGCTTCAACCAAATTGGCTTTAGCTTTACATTCAATTGGCTTCAACCAAATTGGCTTTAGTTTTACATTCAATTAATGTAAGCCAAATTGGCTTTAGCTTTGCCTTGGTTACGGGGTTGGGCTAGCCTTGCTTTGTTTGCTCCTAGGCAGGGCTAACCCAACCCCGTAACCAAGGGCCGTCGGAGGCGATTTTGTTCCTTCCCGGCCAGTCTGAGACTCGCGCCCCTTTGTGGCCGTTCTGAGAATTGCAATGTCTTTGGGTGGGCTGAGATCTGCACTGCTTTTGAGGTGGGTTGCGGTATGCAACATTCTCACAAGTGTGGTGTCACTAATGGGGTGTGGAGGCTTTGTACCCTTTCTCTGGTTGGTCTGACATCTATGCGAACCATGTCTTAAAGTGTACTGCATATGCATCTGCTGCGCCTGTAAATTGCGTCGTGCCATGTATGCAATATGTGTTAAGTTGCGCCTGTAAACTGTGTTGTGCCATGTACAGAATGTGTGGATGCTGCGCCTATAAACTAAGTCTTGGAATCAGAGACCCATATTCATTACATGTTTTGCTTCTCAATGTGTAGTTGCTGGTATAGCGCGTATGTATATGATTGTATGAGTCCTGCCTTGCAGAAACAGACTGTAATAAACAAATAAACAATACACGTATGTTGTGTGTCTTGCTTTGTCACGGCAACGACTGGAAGGACACTGGAAGGTAGGTGAAAAAGGTAGGTGCGGAGGGTGGTAGACGGGGGTTAGACTTAGATGGGGGTAAGACTTAGACACTGGGGTTAGACTTAGACTTAGACACTGGGGGTTAGACTTAGACTTAGACACTGGGGTTAGACTTAGACTTAGACTTAGACGCTGGGGTTAGACTTAGACGCTGGGGTTAGACTTAGACTTAGACTTAGACGCTGGGGTTAGACTTAGACGCTGGGGTTAGACTTAGACACTGGGGGTTAGACTTAGACTTAGACTTAGATGGGGTTAGACTTAGACGCTGGGGTTAGACTGAGACTTAGACTTAGACACTGGGGTTAGAGTTAGACTTAGATGCTGGAGTTAAACTTAGACTTAGACACTGGGGGTTAGACTTAGACTTAGACACTGGGGTTAGACTTAGACTTTAGACTTAGACTGGGGGTTAGACTTAGACTTAGACTTAGACGCTGGGGTTAGACTTAGACTTAGACACTGGGGTTAGACTTAGACTTAGACTTAGACACTGGGGGTTAGAGTTAGACTTAGATGCTGGAGTTAGACTTAGACTTAGACACTGGGGGTTAGACTTAGACTTAGACTTAGACACTGGGGGTTAGACTTAGACTTAGACACTGGAGTTAGACTTAGACTTAGACACTGGGGGTTAGACTTAGACTTAGACTTAGATGGGGTTAGACTTAGACTTAGACACTGGGGGTTAGACTGAGACTTAGACTTAGACACTGGGGTTAGACTTAGACTTAGACACTGGGGTTAGACTTAGACTTAGATGGGGGTTAGACTTAGACTTAGACTTAGACACTGGGGTTAGACTTAGACTTAGACACTGGGGGTTAGACTTAGACTTAGACGCTGGGGGTTAGACTTAGACTTAGACACTGGGGTTAGACTTAGACTTAGACACTGGAGTTAGACTTAGACTTAGACTTAGACACTGGGGTTAGACTTAGACATTAGACTTAGACACTGGGGTTAGACTTAGACTTAGACACTGGGGGTTAAACTTAGACTTAGACTTAGACGCTGGGGTTAGACTTAGACTTAGACACTGGGGTTAGACTTAGACTTAGACACTGGGGTTAAGACTTAGACTTAGCTGGGGTTAGACTTAGACTTAGACTTAGACACTGGGGTTAGACTTAGACTTAGACACTGGGGGTTAGACTTAGACTTAGACTTAGACGCTGGGGTTAGACTTAGACTTAGACGCTGGGGTTAGACTTAGACTTAGACACTGGGGTTAGACTTAGACTTAGACACTGGGGTTAAACTTAGACTTACTGGGGTTAGACTAGACTTAGACTTAGACACTGGGGTTAGACTTAGACTTAGACACTGGGGGTTAAACTTAGACTTAGACTTAGACACTGGGGTTAGACTTAGACTTAGACGCTGGGGTTAGACTTAGACTTAGACACTGGGGTTAGACTTAGACTTAGATGCTGGAGTTAAACTTAGACTTAGATGCTGGGGTTAGACTTAGACTTAGACACTGGGGTTAGACTTAGACTTAGACACTGGGGGTTAAACTTAGACTTAGACTTAGACACTGGGGTTAGACTTAGACTTAGACACTGGGGTTAGACTTAGACTTAGACACTGGGGTTAGACTTAGACTTAGACACTGGGGTTAGACTTAGGTTAGACTTAGACACTGGGGTTAGACTTAGACTTAGACACTGGGGGTTAAACTTAGACTTAGACTTAGACGCTGGGGTTAGACTTAGACTTAGACGCTGGGGTTAGACTTAGACTTAGACACTGGGGTTAGACTTAGACTTAGATGCTGGAGTTAAACTTAGACTTAGATGCTGGGGTTAGACTTAGACACTGGGGTTAGACTTAGACTTAGACACTGGGGTTAGACTTAGACTTAGACACTGGGGGTTAGACTTAGACTTAGACGCTGGGGTTAGACTTAGACTTAGACACTGGGGTTAGACTTAGACTTAGACACTGGGGGTTAGACTTAGACTTAGACTTAGACGCTGGGGTTAGACTTAGACTTAGACACTGGGGTTAGACTTAGACTTAGCTGGAGTTAAACTTAGACGCTGGGGTTAGAATTAGAGAGTTAGACTTAGACACTGGGGTTAGACTTAGACTTAGACACTGGGGGTTAAACTTAGACTTAGACTTAGACGCTGGGGTTAGACTTAGACTTAGACGCTGGGGTTAGACTTAGACTTAGACTTAGACTTAGACACTGGGGTTAGACTTAGACTTAGACACTGGGGTTAGACTTAGACGCTGGGTTAGACTTAGACTTAGACACTGGGGTTAGACTTAGACTTAGACTGGGGTTAGACTTAGACTTAGACACTGGGGGTTAGACTTAGACTTAGACTTAGACGCTGGGGTTAGACTTAGACTTAGACTTAGACACTGGGGTTAGACTTAGACTTAGACTGGAGTTAGACTTAGACTTAGACTGGGTTAGACTTAGACACTGGGTTAGACTTAGACACTGGGGTTAGACTTAGACTTAGACTTAGGGTTAGACTTAGACTTAGGGGTTAGGGTTAGGGTTAGGGTTAGGGTTAGGGTTAGGGTTAGGGTTAGGGTTAGGGTTAGGGTTAGGGTTAGGGTTAGGGTTAGGGTTAGGGTTAGGGTTAGGGTTAGGGTTAGGGTTAGGGTTAGGGTTAGGGTTAGGGTTAGGGTTAGGGTTAGGGTTAGGGTTAGGGTTAGGGTTAGGGTTAGGGTTAGGGTTAGGGTTAGGGTTAGGGTTAGGGTTAGGGTTAGGGTTAGGGTTAGGGTTAGGGTTAGGGTTAGGGTTAGGGTTAGGGTTAGGGTTAGGGTTAGGGTTAGGGTTAGGGTTAGGGTTAGGGTTAGGGTTAGGGTTAGGGTTAGGGTTAGGGTTAGGGTTAGGGTTAGGGTTAGGGTTAGGGTTAGGGTTAGGGTTAGGGTTAGGGTTAGGGTTAGGGTTAGGGTTAGGGTTAGGGTTAGGGTTAGGGTTAGGGTTAGGGTTAGGGTTAGGGTTAGGGTTAGGGTTAGGGTTAGGGTTAGGGTTAGGGTTAGGGTTAGGGTTAGGGTTAGGGTTAGGGTTAGGGTTAGGGTTAGGGTTAGGGTTAGGGTTAGGGTTAGGGTTAGGGTTAGGGTTAGGGTTAGGGTTAGGGTTAGGGTTAGGGTTAGGGTTAGGGTTAGGGTTAGGGTTAGGGTTAGGGTTAGGGTTAGGGTTAGGGTTAGGGTTAGGGTTAGGGTTAGGGTTAGGGTTAGGGTTAGGGTTAGGGTTAGGGTTAGGGTTAGGGTTAGGGTTAGGGTTAGGGTTAGGGTTAGGGTTAGGGTTAGGGTTAGGGTTAGGGTTAGGGTTAGGGTTAGGGTTAGGGTTAGGGTTAGGGTTAGGGTTAGGGTTAGGGTTAGGGTTAGGGTTAGGGTTAGGGTTAGGGTTAGGGTTAGGGTTAGGGTTAGGGTTAGGGTTAGGGTTAGGGTTAGGGTTAGGGTTAGGGTTAGGGTTAGGGTTAGGGTTAGGGTTAGGGTTAGGGTTAGGGTTAGGGTTAGGGTTAGGGTTAGGGTTAGGGTTAGGGTTAGGGTTAGGGTTAGGGTTAGGGTTAGGGTTAGGGTTAGGGTTAGGGTTAGGGTTAGGGTTAGGGTTAGGGTTAGGGTTAGGGTTAGGGTTAGGGTTAGGGTTAGGGTTAGGGTTAGGGTTAGGGTTAGGGTTAGGGTTAGGGTTAGGGTTAGGGTTAGGGTTAGGGTTAGGGTTAGGGTTAGGGTTAGGGTTAGGGTTAGGGTTAGGGTTAGGGTTAGGGTTAGGGTTAGGGTTAGGGTTAGGGTTAGGGTTAGGGTTAGGGTTAGGGTTAGGGTTAGGGTTAGGGTTAGGGTTAGGGTTAGGGTTAGGGTTAGGGTTAGGGTTAGGGTTAGGGTTAGGGTTAGGGTTAGGGTTAGGGTTAGGGTTAGGGTTAGGGTTAGGGTTAGGGTTAGGGTTAGGGTTAGGGTTAGGGTTAGGGTTAGGGTTAGGGTTAGGGTTAGGGTTAGGGTTAGGGTTAGGGTTAGGGTTAGGGTTAGGGTTAGGGTTAGGGTTAGGGTTAGGGTTAGGGTTAGGGTTAGGGTTAGGGTTAGGGTTAGGGTTAGGGTTAGGGTTAGGGTTAGGGTTAGGGTTAGGGTTAGGGTTAGGGTTAGGGTTAGGGTTAGGGTTAGGGTTAGGGTTAGGGTTAGGGTTAGGGTTAGGGTTAGGGTTAGGGTTAGGGTTAGGGTTAGGGTTAGGGTTAGGGTTAGGGTTAGGGTTAGGGTTAGGGTTAGGGTTAGGGTTAGGGTTAGGGTTAGGGTTAGGGTTAGGGTTAGGGTTAGGGTTAGGGTTAGGGTTAGGGTTAGGGTTAGGGTTAGGGTTAGGGTTAGGGTTAGGGTTAGGGTTAGGGTTAGGGTTAGGGTTAGGGTTAGGGTTAGGGTTAGGGTTAGGGTTAGGGTTAGGGTTAGGGTTAGGGTTAGGGTTAGGGTTAGGGTTAGGGTTAGGGTTAGGGTTAGGGTTAGGGTTAGGGTTAGGGTTAGGGTTAGGGTTAGGGTTAGGGTTAGGGTTAGGGTTAGGGTTAGGGTTAGGGTTAGGGTTAGGGTTAGGGTTAGGGTTAGGGTTAGGGTTAGGGTTAGGGTTAGGGTTAGGGTTAGGGTTAGGGTTAGGGTTAGGGTTAGGGTTAGGGTTAGGGTTAGGGTTAGGGTTAGGGTTAGGGTTAGGGTTAGGGTTAGGGTTAGGGTTAGGGTTAGGGTTAGGGTTAGGGTTAGGGTTAGGGTTAGGGTTAGGGTTAGGGTTAGGGTTAGGGTTAGGGTTAGGGTTAGGGTTAGGGTTAGGGTTAGGGTTAGGGTTAGGGTTAGGGTTAGGGTTAGGGTTAGGGTTAGGGTTAGGGTTAGGGTTAGGGTTAGGGTT